AAAATAAAACAAGTCGTATATATTTTCTTGGCCCTGTCATGGTGTGTTCACAGCAAATCCGAATGACTCGAACAGAGCATTTTATTTGCATGCTATGCCTATGTGAAGCGATGCAAAGGATGCATCTCTAGTGATGTCAATGCTGCAATTAAGGTGAGTAGAGCAAAGCTGGAGCCAAAAGAAAACCCATGGAGGACATGAGGCAAATTCTACTGCCACTCAAAAATCTGAAATTTTGTCAATTCCAAATGCATCGACCAATCAGAGCCTGGTTTTTACATTGGGTAGAGGAGTGTAATGGAGATTTTTTTTATTATTTAAAATTAATAGTATGTCAAATATGTATGCATACGTATAATATGTTAAAATAAGATGAGGCAATGAACGCTCTCAGAGGATTGTGGGTGGCTTTTAAAAAAGCACTTTTTATTTAGCCCTTAGAAGGACTATAGAACATAATACTAATTAGTGATTTAACTTTATTGATAGCACATCGGGGCTGCTCAGTGACGCAGTGGGTAGCACTGCTGCCTTGCAGCAAGAAGGTTGCAGGGTTGATTCCCAGCCCAGGGTCTTTTTGCGTGGAGTTTGCATATTTTCTCTAAACATTTGTGGTTTCTCTCCGGGTACTCCGGCTTCCTCCCACAGTCTAAAAACATGACGTTAGGTTAATTGTCTCCTCTATATTCTCCTTAGGTGCGAGTGTGTGTGAATGGTTGTTTGTCCTGTTTGTCTCTGTGTTGCCCTGCGATGGACTGGAGACCTGTCCAGGGTGGACCCCGCCTCTCGCCTGTAGACAGCTGGAGATAGGCACCAGCACCTTTGAGACCCCACTTGGGATAAAGCGTGTCAGAAAATGGATGAATGGATCTCACAATGGAGAAATTCACTCTCTGCATTTAACCCATCCCCTTTGGGAGCAGTGGGTTGTCATTGCGTGGCACCCAGGGTCTAATGTCCATCCTTGGATTTTTCATGCTGGACATTAAGAAATACCACAAGAAGCTACCAGAATCCGGGAAAAGTCCCTGGACTCTCCTAACTTGAAGCTTCTCTGAAGGATCAGGTGGAGCCAGCGAGATTGACACTGTACTCCGGCTTCCTACACTAAATAGAGCATGTGACTCAAAATACAGGTCCGCCATTTTGAGTTGAACAGACAACACAAAGCATAAAGAGGCTCCTCCTATTTGATAACGCATTGAAGTGAGCTCGGCATTGACGTTATGATCTGCTGGCAAAACGTAGAGAGAGCAACAATAAATGATCCAGGAAATCTGCTGGAATGGCATTAGGTGTAAACACACCATTAGTAATAAGTGAATCATAAGTAGAATCAATAATTTGGAGATTTCTCCAATCAAACCCAAATTACCTCTGATGTTATCTTTTTGAGGTAATCTTACATTAAAATGCCTTTTATCAAGAGATAAACCATTCTTTAAGACACTCTGGCAAAATATAACCTCAATGGACCTGAACAACAGTAGCAGATATTTGCACCAGTTATTAAGGAAAGGCTGTGATTTTTTTTTTTTTTCTCTCCTGCAAGGACCACATATTCACTGATGGAGAAGCCAAAAATGCAAGTAGATCCAATCCATGCTGATTAGGTTTTAAGGGAAAAGGGCCACATGTGCAAAGAACGTACCCTCCAGCCTGCCTAAGCGAGCCTCGTGTGATTTAAATTCTTCAGAAGAGGCTGCAGAGGCGTCCAGGAAGTCACAGGTTAGACCTTCCACCATTTTAACAATTCTCTTTGGATGCAGCCACTTCTATCAGCAGACAAAGCACAGGCAGATCTCCAAATCAGAGCATCAACAGCAAACCTTCTGGACATGTTCATGTAATAGTTGTTTCTAAAGCATTTCTACTGCCTCCAGTTGTCCACTGATATTCTGTAAGCTGGGGAGTCGTAGCACATCCTCACTGTTTTCTGCTCTTGTTTTGTTCCAAAGAGGCACTTCTTGTTTTGTTTGTTTAAGATGCTCATGACTTAAAGCGATGACATGATTCACCCGACTGGTGCAACATCTGAGGACTTTTATCCCCACCCATCCACTGGGTTACTGTCCCAGGACCCCTCTTTTAAACTGGAGCGGAGTCTCTCAGCAGAGCATCCTGGAAGGTTCCCCTCTTCAAAGAGCCACTTCCTGTTTATTGGGGTTGCCGTTTGCTGCTGGAGCCACAACCACGGCGGTGGGCACGGTCTTCTTGATGGATGTGAGGCGGATGTGAGAGGTGCTGTGCATGTAGCTGGGTTGGCGTTCAGGACGGGCACCTCGTCCGCATCGCAGCTGACTGGAGAAGAAAAAGAAGCAATAATAAATCAAAGGTACAAAGCAAAAGTAATTATGAAGTTTAAGAACTGAGTGATTTAAGCAAATTTTTTGTATGATCTTTTAAGAGTGAATGGAAGTCTTTATTTTTCAAAATCCTGCTGAATTAAAAAAAAACCCATGAGCTTTATTGAAATAAAACAAAAGCAGTAAAATGACAAACTAAATACATTCTCTACTGTTAAATCGCAGTTTGGCAAGATGGCCAATTAAATGCCCTGCATTTAGAATTAAGGAAGGTTATTTCTACAGTATGACCTGAGTATACGGCTGTTGCTTTAGTGACAGAATGCTGCATCCTAAATGCACAAAGGAGCGTTAGAGCAGATCCTTCCTACAAGCAGCTGTAAGACGTCATAACCATCGCTGCTCCCAATAAGCTCAATAGGTGTTTCCATACTGCTTCTATTTTCTTTTTTTTTTTGCTCACTTATGACACTTATTCTAAAATATCCCTTTTTAAATCAACCTTCAACAGTTGGAGATTCTATAAATGTTTACTAACTTTACAGTATTAATGTTAACAATTTGATTTCTTATTATACAATATTTTTGTTTATTCTGTTTTCATAAACTTTTTTATTTGACTTTTGTAATCCTGCTTACTATAAATGCCTGTTGTTGCTGTTGCTTTGTTCTATACTATGAATAAAGGGGCACCAGAGTGACTCAAAATCCTATTTTTTAACTGCAGATTAAAACATAAAAACAGAACAGGAAGATGGAATACAAATCAGATATGCATTAACACAACCATTTAAATATAGATATAAATTAAAATACACAAAAGCAACAGGACAATGCAACCAGGTTAGAATAAGGCACAGAAACTGATGTGTGACAATTAATAAACCAGATTTTTAAATATCTATAGAACAGTTTGTTGCTTTTCTACTGCACAGTGGTTTTTTCTAGAAGAAATTTACCAGGGGGCAGGATGGGGCGTTTTTTTTTTTTTTTTTTTTTTTTTTTTTGGGGGGGGGGGTCATAGAACTAAAGGATAACACAAAAACACACAAAAAAAACAAAACCTAGGACAAGAGTGTTTAGTATTATAAATGATCCACAAAGCCCAAGTTGCTCACTTTGGATCAAAAAGTCAGTACAGGTGAAGCTAAAACTGCTTGCAATTTTTAAATAATGGTTAAAGTAAATTGGCCAGCCAAAATAGTAAATTGGCCCGATATAAATCAGTAAAAGTCTCTTCTTTCATCAAACTAGATTGATCAAGTTACTGTCACGATTTGGCTATGGTTAGTTGACCCAAAAGCAGAGGCAGGGAGGCAGAGGTGAATCTCTTGTGGATTTAATAATGAATTAACAGAAAACAGTGGCAGGTTATCCAAAAATCCAAAAACAAAACAAAGTCCAAACAAACAGGAGTCCAAAAATCCAAAAATAAAAACATGAAAATAAAAACATGAAAACTAGTCAAAACGTACCAGAAACCATGGAGATATCAGGGGAATAACAATCATGAGGAGGAAGGCACAGAGAGAAGGAGTTGGAGCATATTTGACGAGGACCCAGCAAAAAGGAACTGAAGAGGGCTTTTTAAAGGAGACTGAGACAAAGAGAGGGCTAGAAACTGGAAGGAGGAAACTGGGAGCAGGTGGGCACAGAACAAGACAGGGAAAGAGCTAGGGAAGAAGGAGAACACAAGAGGGCAGCAGAGGGCAACAAATGGAAAGCTGGAAGACTGGAAATAACAACAAAATAATAATTAAACTACTAGAACTATAAAACAAGGAGAAAGGAAAACTAAACACTAACACTAGAAAACAAGGAGTAAAGCAAGACTGGATACTCTAAAGAAAAACATAACAGAAACCCTGACAGTTACACTGCAAAAACAGATCTAAAAAGGTATTATTCATATTTTTTCTAATATCTGCTAATTGCATCAATTTTGTTGAGTGTGTTTTCAGTACAGGGGCCATAAAATGGGCCAAGACTGGTCCTAGAGGCGTACAGGCCCCTGCCTGTGCCTGACTAGAGCCACCTCTGCTACTGCATATTTTCACTTTTTAGGTTTTTTCTTAGCTATACATCTGAGGTGAAACAAAGCATCTGTCCTCTGGCCACAGTGCTATTCTGTAACATCAATGTCCCAAAGCAAAGAAATAATAGCCTTCAGGATGTCTAGTGTGAGTGGAAGCCCTTGAATGAAGCTTTAGAAAATGCCAGGAATACTTCATGACAATTGCTTCTGGTACTCAAATATTCCACCTTGAGGAAACTTTTGATTAATCTAAAATTGGAATTTAACATTGCATGTGCACATGGTACCAAAACCCCTAAAACACAGAACAGTTGCCTGTCTGAGAAGAAGCTGAGGCTGTTTTCATCCACTGCTGTCAACAGGTTGCACAGATTTACATTAAGTGGCAAGAAAACCATCAGGAGTCCATCTAAATAATAACTGACTACATCAGATTTGTCCTTTCTAAATCTAAAAAGTGAATCTTTCTCACTATGGAAGAATACTTTGATCCTGAGGAAAAGAAGTCTGAAATGCCCTCATCATCAGCCACTTTATCAGCCTATAGGACATTTAGGTATTCATGTGAGGGTGAAATTGACTTGCTGAAATTCTAACGGAGCATTTGAAGGGAAGAGAAAAGAGATTTAAATGACTTTGAACAAGTCATGGGCGTTAATGTCAAATGGGCTGGACTGGATGTTTTACTTTTCATACAAACCAGCTATTAACTTTATAAAAAAAAAAAGAGTCTGTATCAGAATAGTTCAATTACGCTGCCATATTTAGTCCAAAGATGTAAGGGTGGCTGGATTTAAATGATTAAAATGCAAAACAAAAGCTTAAGGAACACCTTATTGCAACCAAAGCATGAAGGAAACCATCACTGAATGGAAAGCATGTCCAACCTTGAAGTCTGTGGGCTAAGAAAGCAGAAAATCACACCAAAGGGGCTCCTGCTGTCTTCTAAGAACTGGAAAAACATTTTAAACCTACCAACACCTGGCAATGGAAGAGTATCAAAAGCTTGACATAGAAACATCAGGTTTTATTTTAAAAACGTAAACAACTGGATCCATCTGGCCAGAGGAGTCTAATGGTGTAGGACAGAGGTCATGGATTAACGGACCAGGTTCCGGATCCGGACACACCTGTTTGCTAATTTGGACCCAACCTGATTTAAAACATTTATAAATTACGGAATGTTGCACGTGATCCAAATTATTCAATGAGCTGTCAGTCTGGGTTTCTGCTGTTGCCACTTTTAGACGATGGGAAAGAAGGAGAATACGATGAGAAAAAGAGAGCAGAGAAAGTGTGGACTGCTAGAGGAACTGCGGTGAACTGGTGAAAGAAAAGTGAAATGGCGTGCTCAAAGATGACCCTGCACATTTAGAGGATGTTTGGCTCAACCTGCTGCTGTGAAGCAGGATTCTCCACCATGAACAGAATGAAAAATAAATATGGATCCAGGCTCAAAATGAGCAACTTGATATGTGCTTGAGAATGGCTTAGTCTCTGGTTAAACCTAGGTTTAAAGCCTTGCAGGGCAGCCTAAAGCCCACTGCCAACATTAAGACAGAAAAAAGAAAGGGAAAAAATGGTTTTATATAAAAAAGTGAGTCAGGAAATTGTCTATATAACAAACTGAAAGATTTGTATTTTAGACTTCAAAAACAATTTAGATTTTAAAATGGAAAATGTTCTATTATTTATATTTTTATTCATAATTCAATGTATAACATAGATGCATAAACGCCTCATTTTATTTCAGTGTTAAATTCTATTTAAAGTAATGGATTATAATGTTGTTAAATGAAGGACTTTATTCACTATAAAGTGAGCACAAAAAAAGCTTAAAAAAAAAAACTAATAATACGCAAGCAAGGACATATAAACCAGTTTCTTACATTAAATGCTTACATTTCAATTTTCCTTCAAGCGTTAAGCTGCCTTTTATTTAATGTTTGTGATTTTTCTTCAAAACAAAACAGTATCAAGACAGAGTGTAAAATGTTATTCAGCAGTTTGTCGTAACTTTAGATCTTAAGACAGCAAACCTTTACGATACTTTGTGTTTCACTCCTTGATAATGTTTCCTCCAACATTATTAGAAATTAATGTTAGTTTGTGAAAAGGCGAGCAAAATACCTTGAATAAAATAAAAGGTCCAACTAGAGGCTCCCTGAAATCTCACCTACTGTAAAATGATTGATTTAGAACTCTTCTATTTGAGTACATGTTCATTCTGAGTATCGCATATCGAATATCTTCACTACACTGCGACATTTACGGGTCCCGTGTCTCTGGAAGAATGTTAAAACTGAGTACTTTAGCATTTCTCTCTACTAGGTAATGTTTGTGACAGTAAACACTGACCTGTTAAAGTGGCGGCGGAAGCTCTCGCTGAGCAGGTAGAGAGCGAAGGGATTGACACAAGAGGAGGAGAAGCTGAGGACTCTGGCCACCAAGGTGATGATGAGATGAGCCAGGGACAGGTCCATCTGGTGGTAGTGAAAGGAGCGGTACATGTAGAGCACGTGGTTGGGAAACCAACACAACGCAAACAGGCCCACAAAAACAAGCACAATCTTGGCCAGGCGCTTCCTCGTCTCCATCTGAAAAAGCAAATATGAAGTTCAGGTTAGATGTTTGTAGAAGTTTAGGATGAAAACGAACACAAAATTTACTTTGGCTTTCAAATAACTTATTGGAACCATTGTTTTCCTTTGTTGTCCTGTTAGAATACTGCCACTACCGTGTCTACCAACTAGTGCAGTGTTCTGGTATAGATCTATAGAAGATGCTTGGCTTGTCTCTTTGGGCTGCTCCTTGTTCTAGTCCAGCTTGAATTCTCTGATTTGGTTGATCGGTTAGTTCATGGTAGGAGATAACTGATCCAACTGATCTAAGAAGGCATTTTCAGTCAAATAACTAAAATCTCAGCACAGTTTGGTGGAACGATGATCCCAAAGAGACATTAAAACATTTTTTATTATTATTATTAGCCTCAAATTTCTGTTGGTGTCCAGATGGATAATTGAAATAGATTGTGGTAGAGAGTTGCTTTGTGCTGGAACAGGACAAGTTTTGAGCTGTTTAGCGAAGACGAGAAGAAGCAAATTTTGGGTTTTGAAACCAAGAATTACCATATTTAACTGTTAAGCATGGTAAAGGCGGTATGTCTGTTTTGGTGCAGGTACATCACAAAAAATGTTTGGAATAACAAAATACTACATTGTTCATAAATATTTGAGCCTGTATGTAATTAATTTTAAATAAAATTTATATATCTCACACTGGAGAAATTAACTCTCTGCATTTAACCCATTCCCTTTGGGGAGCAGTGGGCTGCCAATGTGCGGGACCCGGAGAGCAGCGTGGGATTAAGGGTCTTTGCTCAGAGAGCCAGAGTGGCAGTTTGTGGTAATGGGGCTCAAACTATAACCTGAGAATTCCACTCTTTATGCCCTAACTGCTAGGCTACCAATCCCCCCTCTCCCCCTTTTTTTTTTTCAATAGAAAAATATTTGAAAGTAGTTGATTTAGAGAAAAGTTTCAGCAAATTAAGCCTGGTGCAGCTAATTCCTTCTAAAATATATTAGCTTTGTTGATAAAATCAATGTTATTTCAGTAATAAAAGAGAAAACAGAGAAACAAATAGCTGAAATGGAATAATTTTAAAAGATTTTTTCCGCTGAAAGAAGTGAAAAAACGTCCTTCCTGGATGTTCTCCAGGATCCTCCTGCAGAAAGCTTTCTCTGACGGCCCGATGATGAAACCGATGACCAGAAATAAGCCAAAACAGATTCAGTGGCTTTGGGCTGATGTTACAGCCCTTTGAGAGGACTCTACTGTCAGACTGAGTTTTCTGAAGCATGAAAAATATTAGCTTAAATCATCAAACATAGGTCACATTGAAGTGCTTTTCTGTGTATTTCTGGCTTCAAAAGAAACAGGATCCAATGAGATCTTAGGGGAAGCGGTTCCTTTCCTGCAAAACTTGATTCTAAAGAAAATAAATGAAAACATTCATAGTGAATAGTCCCAAAGTACTGCGAAGACCTGGTCTGTTTTTATGACTGACTTTATGACTTTCCATCATTATTTAATTTCTATTTCCATTACAAATGTCTCAATATTCTGCTTAATCGAAAAAGCAACGTTTTACAGTTGAGGAATTTCCATTAAATAAACAAAAGAATAGCAAATTACTGTAATACTTTTTTTTCAATCATGCATTAATTCTGAAAATAACATGGCAGTGATGGAGGTAAACAGATGAGATTAAAATAAATATTTTTTATCCCAATTTTTTTTAATAGCTGTGTTTCTTTTTATTGCACAATTTGCACAATTTCATGCTTCTATCTTCTATTTTGCATCTATCAAACCCATGTTTGCAGAGTTTTTCCCTCCACAAAAAGTCCCAAGTCTGGAGCTTTCACAGTCCGACACAATAACCATAGAACTTTAGTGCAAATCATGCTGGCTTTTGTTAAAATGCTTTATGGAGAAGCTGCTTTGATTTTGCAGTAGGACTTAGTATCAGCCACCACAGCCAAAAGAATCAGTGTCTGCTTTAAATCTGAAGCAGACAGCATTATAAACATCTGATGAAACCATAGACCAGGGTTCGTCCAGTCCTTAAGATTCTGTGTTCTGCACCTTTAAGATGAACCTTTAAATACAAATCATATATGCCAATAAGAATGCTAAAAGCAAATATCAGTGACTTTTACAGAAAAGCAACAATTGTTCCTCACCCTGTGTTTTGCATTTGTCCACTTTTTATGGATCGTCTAAGCAGCCGTCTCTGTAAAGCGCTCCAGGATTTAACAAAGTCCCAGCTCACAAAAAAACAAGCTAAATAAATAACGAAAAAAAGCTGTGGTAACGCTGATATATGTAACGCCATCTATCAGTACCCGGGAGCAACAGGGAGCATTTCTAAGCCACTTACTTTGGTTTCAATGAAAAATGTTTGTTGGCTTACGTTGGTGGTTGTAATGACAGCACAGGACATTTCTCCAAGCGTTATTGACTCTACTATGGTTTAAGACAATGGATTGCTTTACTAGTGAGGCTTTTTAGTTTTAAATTAAATCTGCATAACATTTAATCAATATCTTTATCAAAAGAACATTTGCAGCGTCATACATCTTTAGCTTATGTGTTAGAGCTCGACACATGCACTGATGCATCGGTGTTGCTGGACCCATCACTACCTCCACCACATTGTGACACCAAGTGGCAAATAAAAAACCAAAGAGGTTTAATAAAACTGCCCTAAAAACAGCTGAAAACATCCAGAACTCATCCAAACTGAGGCTGAAAACTGCATTTTAATGTTGCTTCTGATCCAGCTTTAGGTTCTCACCTGGTCTAACATCATCATGGGGTTTTTTTACACACAGTAAGAGGATTAGAGGAGTAAACTGGATTACAGTTTTCAGAAGTGGATTTTTTTCTCTGTAAATATGCAGTAATTAAATCCTTTCAACTGTGTGAAGAAGGAGCTCCACAGCTAATCAGCAACACCTGTCATCGTTTTACCTCCTCTGTCTCTTCTTTAACAAGAAAATTGATAATAATTTAAGTAAGAAATGTTGAGAAAAGCAGAAATCCTGATGGATTGAATTTGCTTTCATTCCTTGTTCAGAATCTTAGTGACCTGCAGGTTCAGGCAGCAAACTCTGCTGAGAGGCTGGATTAGGAGAAACCCCTCAGGTTTTCTTCAGTTTTCAGCTACCTTTTATATCAGAAGATTTAATGCTATATAAAAATATGATCTAAAATAAAGCACTCCCATCAATCAATGGTACGTAATTATGTTTGCTACCCATTCTGGTTATTATAATACTTCATCTGTTTCTGACACAGCGGTTTAATCTGGCAAAAACGAGCAGATAAACACATCATTCCCTCGGCTTTCAGCGCTATCCTGGAATGTAACGAGCACTTACTGCAGCAATCAACTGGCAGAGGGGAAATGGCAGCACACATCTTCTGTGTGTTTATTATTTTATCTGCTTTAGATTGTTGCATTTTACCACATTTTATTTGCAGTAATTCATCATGTTTTTCTGCTTATACATCCTTCCTGACAATATTTTGCTAAAGGTACACCTTTAGTTGACGTCGCTCCTGAATCACTTTGAATAAGATAATAAAGTTCATCTTATGTGCATAGTATTGTTTATATGATCATCATAGAGGTTTATGTTTTCATTTATTCCACTGCTTAGGAATTGGGTCTACCAACCAGCTCTATCCTGTACCACCATTCAAACTGATTATATTCTTCATTAACTCACCAGATAAGCATGCTCTTATTATGAAATATCTGACTGTCTGACTTCCTGTCTGGCTCATTTGAGCTTTAATGGTTTAAACCTAAATGATGAAACTGAACCACATTTATCCTCTAACAGCATCGTGACACAAAAAATTAGGGGAAAAGCCTAATGGATGTAACCTGTAAACATTTCTCAGTTTAGGTCATGGAAACTGGTCCCTGTCTGTGCGCTGAGGAGCATACAGTAAAAGCTATATTTATTCTTAAGGGGACATTTTGGCTACGTTCACACTGCAGGCCTTAATGCTCAATTCCGATTTTTTCGTGAAATCTGATTTTTTTGCGTGTCTGTTCACACTTCCAAGTATATGCGACTTGTATGTGATCTACTGTGTGAACTGAAAGCGTTCAACCGAAGTGTCCCGCATGCGCACTCAAGGACGCGATGACGTCACATGTAGCAAGCGTCCTCAGTGTTTGCGGAAGTAAACATGACTCGTAATACCGCAGCGTATATTGCGTTCTTTAAGTTCTTCTCCAACAGGAGCAGGCACATTACGAACGAAATCTTTTTAGAAGATCAAAAAGAAAGACCCTCCCCCGGTTCCGGTAAGACCCTTCGAGTTTGGTCTGAATCGAGCTATCTTTCCAAATATGAATTAAGTCAGCAACCTCACTTTCTCTCCATTGACTGCTCTCTGTGTTATCTTCCGCCATGGTTGTTAGTTTTTCCCGCCTCCGCTTAGTAGGACGCAGATTAGTAACGTTTAGTAACATTTGTCAAGTATCAATGACGTGTAGGTCGGATGAATGCGACCTGGCCGTACAGACACAGGTCGCATTTGAAAAGATCAGATACGTATCGGATTCAGGACCACATATCCAAGTGGCCTGGGTCGCATTTGAAAAAATCCGTTCTGTGTCGTTCAGACTGTCATAAAAAGATCAGATACAGGTCACATATGGGCAAAAAAATCGGAATTGGGTCACTTCAGGCTGCAGTGTGAACGTAGCCTTTGATTCTATCAGAAAAAAAGGTGGTGAAACATAAAAAAAATCAAACGACTCAAATGAGATGATTAATCAGGTGGACAAGGTGTGAAGGGGCCCACTGCACTGCATGTTCTAGATGTGTCCTTGCTTTAGGACACCTGGATCTAATGACTGCTGTGGTTATTGCTGTTATTACTGCTGTTATTTCATATATTCATTTATCCTATGCATTTCCTGCTCAGCAGCCTCCAAGAGATGGACAGGAATGTCATTGTCAAGTCATTTAACGGCAGACAAACATCTTAAATGGGCTGTACAGGCGGCCCT